CTTTCAAACGGGGCGCTTATTCGCGCGAGTACGATACGCATGACTGTCATCGAATTTGGTCGGTCTACTCTCTTTGCTTTTCCAATTGTGGTGCGTAGGCCTATTATATCCGGACCAAAACCGAGTAAAAACGCAATTCTTTGTACATTTCGTAACCATCTCAGTACAGTAACCACTCCATCGATTTTGTGGGTGCAACGGTTATCAGTATGGGGTGCCATTAGACATTGAACTTTGCAATACATTTAGATTTTAACATGGACTTTTGCTGAGGCACCCTATATCAGAGGCTAAATTTATTGTGAATAAAACCATGCACTGTACGTTGTTTAAAATTGGAAGCGTGTAAACCTATTAGGCCAATATTTTTACAAACTCAAAAGTGCACCATTTCTACTATAAACGATTTATTCCTTTTGTATGACCCGTATATACTAGTGTTTAATATTATCTGCATAGGGCCTACATAGATTCCTGTTTTTTCTAATTTCAAATTATAGTTAGTCAATTGAATTGTATATAGCCGTTAAACAATAATTATACAGCCTTAGACACACTGACAGGTCTATCTATTTCGATTTATTTAAGTAGGCCTACGTACCACCGATGCTAAGTTGATGAATTACCTTGGTTGATGCAATCTCGCAATGACGTTATGATGATCAGTGGCGGATTCAAGTGGGGCCGAACCGCGCCCCCACCTATCCTACATTTTTCAAAATAACAAAACAAAAAAAAATGGGGAAAAAAAGGAAAATTATAATGAAAACTTTTCCCCTATTTTCGACAAAAGCTCATTCAGGTAAACTTGACCTACATGCATGCATGTACGCACTAACCGCAGAAAACTCGAAATTGGTAGCTGCTATTGGCCTTAAGCGCGTGACGTCATTCATAAACAGGGTAAAAACAGTTCTGAATACAAAATTTTAAAGAAAAAATGTTCAATGGTTATTTAAGCAACCAGCATGGGACTCACATGGCAAGAAAGCATAATTTATGAGCTACAATTGACCGTTCACCCCGAAGTTAAGCGACCTGTCGTTGCAGAGTTATGGTAAAAAGAAGTAGGAAGTATACCGAAAAACACTCTAATTTTAACCTTTTTCCTATGCAAAAGCATAAGAGTTAGTCAACTTTTGAAAGAAAAATGATCACTCAATTTGCATTAATTGTAAGAACATATAGATGATTATAAAGCTTAAAACATCTAGTTTAATAATCCGATCGCCCCAGATTGCCAAATGAAACCATTCAAATTATATACAGTAGTCGATTTTGTGAGAAAATGGGGTCCCGTTTTGACTCATTTACTGTGTTAAGGTGTGCAGTGAAACCGTTCAGTGAGCAATGTCTTTATTGTTTTTCAAGTTTTCATTATACCGTACTCGCGAGAATAAGCGCCCCGTTTTTGAATAAACGCCCCCTCAATAACCCAATCAATCCTGGGACTCTGGATGTTGGCATGATTTGAGGTGTGGAGTGGAATCACATTCTCCTCTATAGTCAATATCAAAGTGAGGATATTTAACTTTGACAGAATGGTGAGAGCTCCCTGGACAGACAGTACCGGTATATTTCCAACTTTCATCTTCTTTCATTTATAGCCTAGTCCTATTACTCCTTTTCCGACAATTTGCACCTTTAACACATTCTCATCTAAGTTTTCAAGAAAACCGGCAATGATCATGCCGTCCTGCTATTCTCAATCGACCGATGGCGAACAAGCTAACCACCACCACTAAT